GGTTCAGTTCAGTGCAAATGTAACTACACCTATATGCAGTGGTGGGATTCAAATATGTGAACAACTGGTTCTCTCTGTTGATGCCTCTTCCAGAAGTCCATTCTGGGCCTGGGCAACAAAAAAATAGATACTGGTTCTGCCGAAGTGGTGCGAACTGGCTGAATCCCAGCACTGCCTATATGACATATAAATATAAAAATATAAAATATATTTTATATAAAAACCTTTGAAAAGGTTTTATTTGGTGAAATGCAACAGTCATCATCATATAATAATGCAGTGAAAATAATACATGTTGGTGATTAAAGTATACTGGAACTGAACAAGATCTTCTTCAGCTTTTTTAACCGGAAACATCATAATACTTTGATATTTAACATTTCTCTGAACATTACAGTGTGGTTCTCCCATCAAAATATGGCTTATAAAAATGTATGCATAAAGAAAATATTACTGCAAAAATAACATTAGCAAACAGAATATTCATACTGTACTATGGAAGCTGAGAAAAAATAGGGAATGGAAGAAAGCTGCTTTTTGGCAGCTTAAAAAGAACACATCAGCCAGTGTGTAATTTTCTTCTTCTGGAAGATGATTCTGGAGGCTGTCCTTGCAAAGAAGCCCACTGTCCTAGAGTTTTAAATCATTGGGATCTGGCTTTAAATCTTCATCTTGTCATCAGACCATTATAGTCAGTGATGGCAGTAGAGAAAAGATGTCAGAGTCTCCATACCTACCATTTTCACATTCAAACTCTTGATTCCCACAATGACCTCTCTCATCTGGACACAAACTTTCTGTCTCACAGTACGCTCTATCACTCAGGGCTGCAGTGCATGGTTTTCCTCCGAATTGTCCAAACTTCACAATATTCCTTGAGCGGTACTTTGTGGGAGATATTAAAAACACAATTAAGAAAAGATTCAGAATCAGCCAGCTGGGGGGGGGGGATGAATGGCTGGGAAAACGAGGCTGGTTTTGAAAGCCCTCCCCCTGCCTTTTAATCAATATTTAACATTGAAGTTTAATAATACTTTATAAATTTTAAATTTGATATACTGTTTTTATGTTTTAATATTTTATTTGTGCACCACCTAGAATCCCTCTGCGAGGGAGATGGCCAGTTTCAAAAGACGATAAATAAATAAAATAAATATACAAGGTGAAAGAAATGGAAATGTGTTGTATTGTTCCAAAATGGAAAGGATGGGAACTTCAGGGTCCACAGCTATTCAGAGGACAGACTATCACTCAATCACTGGATGATCATTACAACTGTGTTTCTCAACTCTAGCAAATTTTAAGATGTGTGCACTACCAATTCTGAAAGTTGAAATCCACACATTGTAAAGTTGCTGCTGTGAGAAAGCCAGTGTGCAGCTACTGAAAATGTACACATTTATACTGTGAAAAAGGATTAAAATGGGTGATCTCTTATCATCCATTCAAATTTAACACTATAATTACTGGACAGCCAGTGATTCCAAACAAGAAACCCTTTTTTCTTTTACTATTTGAAACTAATATCCACCAAGGAGCCTATACTTCACAAATATACCTTCTTTACGAAGCAAGATAAATTATGGAAAAACTACCGGTACTTACTCTTTCTTTTGAGCATGGACTACATGGCCCCCAATCAGTCCAGGTAGTCAGTAAGCAGTCAATGGGTTCTGGGGCATTAAGGTTTCTGGTCACCCTTAGAACAAAATAGTCTTAAAGTAAATTGAAATGTTTCTGGTTTATCACTGTTTATACGTACAATGTTTGTATCTACATATTGAAAGGGAACAATATGACTTTGTTTGCCTAGTCATTTAGTTGCATGCCATCTCATTGTGGTCCCTCAGTACATAACCTTGCATGAGAATACTTGATTTCAACATTCCACAGAAGGTGCACTTGGGAATACTGAAAACCCTATGACCATAGGAAAAAGGGGTTGAGTCCTGCACATGATTTGCAGTTTCTAATTGCAATTCCTGTTTTAAAAACAGAATTCAAGCAAGAAAGATGTTATTTGATATGACATAGTACAAAGAAGCTTTAAAATATGATTTGATGGGTTTGTACTTTCATATTTTTTAAAAATTCTCAGAAACTTTCTCCATACCACTGATTTAGGAAAAATCACTGAGGTCCCAAGATAACAGGTGTGCGTATATGTATTTTTATGTGGTTGGTAAACAGTTGCCTTTGTCTTGTGTTTACTGTCAGCAAACCATGGAAAGATGCAGTGTTTAGCTCATTCTTCTTCCATGCTGTTCCTATATTGGCTAGTTATCCTTGAAATCGATCTTGAGAGGAAGTTGAGGTTGGCCTCATCCATCAAAATTTTAGGATGTCAACACTTAACACTAAAGTACTGAGCATTTGAACTCAGATATTATGTTCCAGTTTGCACATTTGCTATATTTAAATCCATTTCACTCAAGTTAGAGAGATGTAACTTCAAAATCCTTCTTTCCTTCTTTCCTTCCTTTTTTTGTAAGAATAAAGTTTGCGCACAAATAAAATTACACTTGTGAGATGCAATTTAGGGCAGAAAAGAACAAGCAGATTATATAAAGTAGTCTCAGAATCTGACCAAATTATACTTTTATGAATATTTCTAGTAAAAATATTTGATTTTTGGTTTGAAATTCCAGTATTCCAATTCCAGGTTTAGAGGTACATAAATTTTAAAAATCTGTTACTAATAAAATAATGCTCATTTAACAATTTGATTATTTTTTGCATGGAAATAATTTATATTGTACTCAATAGGTTGACATATTGTTCAGAAGCATTTGAAAAATGGCAGGAAGCAGTAGTTCTCTTACTTTCTGTCTTTCAGAAATTAAAAAACAGAGCACCAGGAAATTTGGAGAAGAACACCCACAAATGCTACCAAATGTTATATCTTTCCCATACAATGGACTTACCTTGTTTTTCCTGCTGAGGCAAAACTATTTGCTTCTAAAATGCAGAGGACTCCTATAAGAAACAAAGAAGTAGACATGGTGGTAGGTCTACTAAAAAGTAAATCAGATCCAGATTGAAATCTTTTATTCCGTTCATTTTTGTTAAATATTAAAAGGACAATAAACAAAATGTGATGTCAGATGAAGGTCAATGCTCATGCTCACTTTCGAGAAGTGTCCTGTACATATACTCAATTTGGCAAGTCTGTTTGTACAAATAGAGAAGAAGGGCAGATGGGAAACTCAAGCTTTTGAACTCAAATTCAGTAAATCATGAGCACTGATACCTCTGCAGAATAAAGTATGGCAGAAATGGGATAAAATGGTAAATGACATTGTTGTAATAATATTGTTCAATATATAGGAACTGATGGAAATAAGACATACAATTAAGGACAGCAAACCTATCCTAAATGGTAGTTTGTGATGCTCCTGGCCCATTAAATTCTAGTCTTCAGCCTATCACTACTTCTCACCTGCTGTCTGAGTGAACAACCTCTCTCTCTCTCTCTCTCTCTCTCTCTCTCTCTCTCTCTCTCTCTCTCTCTC